CTGAGCCCCGGGGGGCCAGCCTGGGAGGCTGGGTAGCCACGGGTGGGTGACTAGCAGGCACTCACCCTCGGGCGGGAGTCGGGGCTGTGCTCTGGGCTGGGTGCGGGTGAGGGCTGGGAGGAAGCAGCTCTGTGTGGGTGCACGAAGCAGGCAGACCCCTGTGGGCTGTGGACAGAACAGGCCCTGAGATCAGGGTGGGCGCCGAGAGCCAGACAAGCCGCAGGGAGACAGGCAGGACGGGAGAGCCAGGCCGCGGGCCAGCAGGTGGGTGTGGGTGTCAGGCGCTCACGGGCAGGGCGGCACCCTCACACTGCCACACTCCAGGGGGCTCCCCAGAGCTGGAGGCGCAGGATGACCGACCCTCTGGCCCTGCTCTGACCACCCCAGGCAGGGTGCCGGGGCCTGCTCGGGGCTGGGTTCTTCTTGGGGTGGGGGGTGAGTGTGGCCTGAACCAGGGGGTCCCTCATGCACAGACCTGTGTCTTGGGGCCGCTGAGCACCCCAGCCTGGCTCTGTCGCTCCCGAGCTTGAGGGTGTGAGCCTCCTCCCCTCAGTGACCCAGAGAGTGGGGGCCGTTGGGCACAAGCAAGAACGAGGCCAAGTGGGGGAGCCCAGCCCCTCCACACAGGGGCCATGGGTTCAAGGGCGAGAGGGTGACCATCGTGGCCATGTGGGTGTCACTGTGTCTCGGTCATGCGGCGCTGGGGCTCCTGACCCCAGTTATTTTGGCTTGTCACCTGCAGTTGAGGCAGCCGGGAGGCCGGGCTGGGCAGGCTGAGCCCAGCCCGCAGGGGGATGGCCACACCGTAGAACAGAAGCTTCAGAGGGAAGCGGGACCCCAATTTGGGGAATGCTGGTGTTTTCAGCGTGGGAGGGGGGAGAGCTTGAGCAGGGGGGGGGAGCAGAGGCCCGACGGCATTCATGTCCCTCCCACACTCCTGCTGCTGGGAGAGAATGGGGCAGGCAAGGCCGGCTTGGCCCCACTTAGGTGGCAGGGAAGGGGGTGTCCAGAGACCGAGCGACGCCGGGCTTGCCAAGGGGTGCGTGCACTGGGCTTCCTCAGGAGAGGTTCTGGGGGTCAGCTCCCCTTTCTGCACTAGGTCAGGCTGGGGGTAGGGGTGGGTGGCTCTGGAGAAGGGGCCCTGGAGGGGCCCTGCTTTAATTAGGATGGGGCTGGGTCCTCTGGGGGGGGGCATTGCCCCCTAAGAGCTCTGTGGCCTTCCCGGAGCCTCCGCACCTCACTTGGTGACCCCTGGGTCTTGAGTCTGGTGGTGCGAGTCTGCTGGCTCCTTTCTTTCCTGGAAGACGATGGAGACTGGGGACCCTGATGGCCCAGGAGGGTCTGAGGACTAAGGGAGGCCGCACGGGCGAGGGGTGGGGACGGCGCCCAGCACAGGGCAGGGGGTGACAGGTAGGGCCTGCCCCACGGTGCTGCCTCCAGCCTATTCGCTCCACTCTCTCCCCCATTGTCTCGCTCCTTTGTCTTCCTTTGTTGCTATTTCTGTCCTTCCTCGATGATGTTGGTAAGGGTGAGCCTCCTTTCATGTCAGGATGCCAGAACCCCGCCAAACTGGTAAACAGCTGAAGGAAGTGGTGGGAGATGAACTTTCCACTGAGGCAGCTTTGAACTTATCCCCGCCTTGCTGGGTCTCCCCTGCCTCTCCCCGGCTGGAGACTCCATTCCACCCCACGAAGTGGGACAGGGGCTAGAGCCACGGTCCAGTGGGGGCAGGTGTCCACACCGGGTGACCACACGGGGCGCAGCCCCTCTGTTGGGCTCCAGAACATCTAGAGGGTCTCAGGAGGGGCGGAAGTGGGAACCGCAGATGGGCGACAGGGAGGAATGGGAGCTGGGGCCGCTCGGCAGACGGGCTCTGGGAGAAGTTGGGGTGTTAGCAGCGGACCCCCAGACACAGCAGGGAAGACCAGCCTGGGCCCCTGGGGGTGACCTGGGAGCCTCAGAGCTACTTCCCGGTGCAGAGAGCAGGCGGAAGAGGGGATCTGGAGGCATAATCCTGCCACTTGTTGGGTGCAGAGGCGGAGGGTGGTCTGGAGATGGGAATGGACTGTGGGCCCTGGACGCTGGGTGTGCAGGTCAGTGTGCACAGAAATGAGCCTCTGAACTTGTTCCTTACCCCCTGGTCCTGGCCACAGCTTCTGTGTCCCCTCCCCCCCACCGATTTTCCTCAAACCCACCTCTATTTCCCAGCTGTGATCTCTCTAGAGCATTCATCTCATCACACCATTTCCCTGCCTTAGAAATGACTCAGGGCTCCCCAGGACCCTAGGACTGTGAGCAGCCCCTCAGAGAAGTTACACAGACCCTCTGAGCTGCTCTCCAGGGGTCTCTCCCACGGGCGCCTCCGCCCAGGCTTCAGCCGTCTGGCACCACACTTCCACTGGGAACTCTTCTCCAGCAAACTCCTACACATCCTTCAACGGCCGCCTCATTTGTCCCATTGGCTGTCATCTTTCCCCTCTGGCTTCCACTCCAACTTTAGACCAGTGGATGAAGTGAGGTTGTATCTCAGAGCCCCCCCCCCCCCCCATGTGAGTTTCTCCCTATCCTGGAGCCCAGCACCCCGCCGGCACCTGCACTGTTGGTAGACAGGCAGGCTGGTATCCTCAGATCTCAGAGCAGGCTGGGCTTTGGCTGTGCCTAGCAGTGTGGCCCCAGGAGGGACAGGTGCAGGAGCAGATTTCCACTGGAAGCTAAGCAGCGCGGGTTTAAATCCCAGCTCTGTCCCTTGCTAGCTGTGTGACGTGGGCGTTTTGCTTATCCTCTCTGGGGCTGTTTTCTCCTCAAAGAAAGAGCTGGCACGGGAGTTGACTGTCCTCAGCCTCAGATCTTCCCTGAACAGGTTGGACCATCCGTTACTGCCATACTCTGCACTTGCAGGTGCATGAACCCCACAGGTCTCCGGCCTGGGGTCCATCCGAGTGGTCCATCCTGCCCCTGTGGACATTTCTGCAACTGGGACTCAGCTACCACCTTCACTTCACGGCATCTGCGTGTTTGTCCGGATCCTTGAGGCCCATTAACAGGCAGGATCTCTCAGTCGGGGTGGGGGTACCTGCTCTGCACTTCCTGCCAGGCTCCCCTCTGCCAGGTCAAGGCTGGGGTGCTCTGGGGTGCTCTTCATCTCCGCCTGTCTGGTCCCAGCTCCGACCTGGCTCCCTAAGAAAGGCCCAGCTCCCCTCTCCGGGACGGCCCCTCCCCCGCCCGGGAGGCCAGCTCCCGGCTCCCGTCCTTGTGGTCCTTCAAGTCCCCTGGCTCGCATGAGCCTGGCGCCCCAGGCACCCCAGGATAAGGACAGGGCGAGGAGGCGTGGCTCAGAATTGTGCAGTTCCACTGGGTGAGGGGGTGGGAGGGGGGCTCATGTGAAAAAGCCGGGAGATCTTAGAGGGGCCAGAGGGGCAGAGCCCAGGGAGGCATAGGACGCCCACCCCTCCCAGGCTCCGTGTCCTGTAACATGTGAGCGCACCCCACCGCACCCCACTCCCGCCTTGAGTCCCCCTGGAAAGCGGCCATCTCCCCTTCCCCCCTCCTAGCCCAGCGCTCCCCTACAGACTCGGCAACCAGCAGACTCAGAGGCTGAGGGCAGGGCGGCAGCAGGGAGTGTGCCCGTGAGTCCGGCCGTCTGTGCAGGCCGGGCTCCTGAGGCTCCCTGGGAGTCTGCCGCACCCACCCGGCTCCTCCCCAGGAATCCCCCGCTGCCTGGGAGGGCTCAGAGGACCCCAAGGGGGCCCGTCGTGTTGCAACCACATCCTGTGACAGTTGCCTGGGACCGCCAGCTTTGCCGGCACCCCTGGGCAGGTGAACAGAAAACAGGCTTGCTCAGCCCGGCAGATGGGGGTGCATGGCCCAGCCTCCTCTGAGGCCCCCCCTCCCCGGCCTCCCCC